TCGAGGTATTGGAGTAGGTGCCCCTGTTGCAGCATTTCTTTGGATGACTTCACAAACGGCTCCTGATAAATGTTGAATTACCTGGCAATGGCTGTCCGTTTCTGGCCATTTTCTCTGAGAGCAAGAATCCCGTAGTAAGCTGCGTTGCTTAGCTGTCGAACCATATCTTCACTAAGGTACCTGTCAAGTTTCAGAGCGATCCCTTTGTTGCTTCTCTAAACACACTCCAAAGATTGACCAAACCCATGCGTTTTTATACAAGGGCAGAAATTGCCGAAAAGGCCACCCCTCACATTTCTGACCACAGAACATGCAACTGCATGCATCAATTGTTTCGAGGGTTGTGTGGTAATTAGGTAACACACCTGGCTACACATGGAGTGACACCTCAGCTTTGGATTTAAAGTAGTTAGAGAGAAATTAAATATTTTGTAGAAAATTTACTCGCCAAAAAATAATATTCCATATTACGTGGTAACCCTGTAGGTTTCTGGGCTAAGATCAAAGCGTAAATAAAAAAAAAAAAAGCAACGTAAATTACCTTTTACAGAGATTCCAAAACTGCTTACTTTGTCTCTGCAGTCTTTTATTTTAGTGAATGTCTTGTCTCAAGCTTCAGAAAGTTTTTACTTAAAGTGGTGACAACAGTCTTAGTTAAGTAAGCTTAATACATTTATTGTGGGCCAATCATTATTAAAAACTCATAGACCAATTTAGCAATATCGACTTGGCATAGAAGGCTAGCTCCTGAGTTATTTTTGTCTCTCATCTGATATCACGTAATATCTGAAATGTTGGCTCTGGTTCCGAAATTTCCCATTTGCATTTTTTGTATTTTAGCTGGAAGTAGAAACCCTGTGCTCTTATATACTGTAGAGCATCCACTGCTTATCTAATGAAGCTCGGCCACGGCCTCGTATAATCTCCCTCGATGAGTTTATTAAAGGATTTTTTCAAAAGCTCATTGTTTAAAAAAACTTGATGTGTAAATCAAAGTAAATTTAAATCATTAAAAATCTTTCCTAATGAAATCCTTATTGTATTAATCCCTATTAAATAACAAATGTGGTTATAAATTGTGTTTTGTTCATTGAAAATGTGAAGAAATTGAGATAATTCTTGAATATAGTTCTAAAGTAACATGGCTGTTGGGGATTCTAACATATTTACCTTTCTATTCGTTATTGGTATGTCATCCAGGCGCCTTGTTCATGAGTTTGTGCTGCATGGATTCTGCTGCTAACTAACTGAAAAATACCGATACTTATCGCTTCGTGATTATAATAATTATACGAACATTTAACATGGAGGACTTGCGTTACTTTGTATATGCGAAAGGCAATTATATCCGACAGGAATATATGTCCTAGTTGCGTATTGTTATAGAGTATATAGCTTACACTTTCACTGATTACAAGTAATAATTAAAGAGAAATCAAATTAGTAAAAGGATAGTGAGTTGTTGACTATAAGGTAAATTTCTTTAAAAGTCAACAAGTGTAGGAAAAGATGGAACATGTTAAAGTCACATATAGTTCGCTTTGATTGGTTAATTTCTCAATAGATTTGCAAGTTTCTGCCACGTGTTAAACACATGCAAACTAAGGATGGATATGGTGCACCATGAGTTAGATAAATAATATTTTAGGTATTATTAATTTTCATCCGCGGACCCCCCCCCCCTTCAAATAATCCTGGATCCGCCCCTGTACTCTGTTCTCTGTAAATTGCACAGGCATAGGGCAAATAAACGGTTATGAAATAAATGGAATATATTACTCTAATAGCTCCCAATGCAGGTTTACATGAAGGAAAACGTAATTGTACACGTAACAACAGATTTCATCTTATTTAAAGTTTAAAATCATTGTGTGTTATCTTAAATGCTGGTGTAATTGTTAAATAATTAACTGGAGAGTCATATTGCTATATACATGTATCTAGTTTTTTTACCTGCTCGTGAAGGTTTTACAGTTTTTTTAAAAATCCTTCATGATATCAATTTCTAATAAAATATAATGTAGGCATCTTATATTATTGAATATATTTCTATTTTTAGATGAACTTAAATGAGATAACAACTCTTTGTATGAGATCTATATTTCACAATAAATACATGGTAACAACTCATAGAAATATAATACGGTATAGTTTACCACAAAAACGACAGTTATAGCAATTATTCTGAAATCTTTGCTTGTCATCGGACCACGTGACCTCCATAGGTGGCCATATAAAATAAGAAAAAAAAACTTATTCGAAAACAAAAACCGGGACTATTTGAAGCGAGCAATAAACTGAAAAACACGTTGAACAAACGACTCCCCCATGTCACATAGAGCACCATTTACACAGGTGTTGCAATACTTATAACACCCCTCTGTATATGTGCCGGGTATAAGACACAATAGCAGTGATGTCAGTGAGTAAAAAGTTCATAGGTAAGTTCTGGTCCCACAAAAATGCCCCTATGGTTATTACCTGCTGCCATATTGCACTGAGAGTCGACTTGGAGAATAAAAACTTCTCAATTGTTATTCTCACACGATGCCAATCTTTGATTAAAAGGACCATAGGTGCAACCTGAGCTTCAGAGATAAATTGATACAAACCTCTGCACCAAAGAAGTATATCCTTGCCGTTTCCAGTTGCCTCTGACCAGGGCTCCGTAACTCGAAAGCATCGCGTAATGCGGATAGCGATATCACATAGAGGCTACAATGTATTATATGGGGCGAGTATGGGCGAGTTATGGAATCGAGACGCTTGCGCTCGGTCGCAATGCTTTCGAGTTACGGGGCCCAGGTTCGTTGGGCCTGGCTGCCGGCCCCTCAAGCTTTACACCCGCCCCAATGACTCATTAAAGGATATCTTTGAGAGCATTCACATCGAGAAGAGCCGAGGTCTAGCAAGGCATGACATTCATTGAGGTTCATTGAGAGACCATTAAAGGATTACGCGACATTCATTGATATTCACTGACAGACCACTAAAGGATTACGCGGTCTTCCTTTCATGTAGGTCGGCCATATTTAGGTCTCGGCCTTGCTAGACCTAGGCTCTTCTCGATGTGAATGCTCTCTCTATTTATCAACACACGCCCTAACGCAATAAACGCGAACGAGTCGAAGCGCGGTTTTTAATTCAAGACTAGTTTGTCGATGTCATTATTGCCGCATCTTAAGCTACTAGCTATCGAACAAAATTGCTAAAACACGAGGCTAAAAATAAGTTTTTTATCAGATCATAGTGAAAAACAAGTAGCCGACAATACACAGCAAATATTCAATTTTGCAACCTCATCTTACAACACCAAGCGCAATCGATCTCAAAATATCGGGCATTTTAAATTCCTTCGTGAACAAACATATCAAATTCTCACCTAGCTTCCAAAATAAAACAATAAAATATAGTTGCACTTGATTTCTATAAGTTCGTTGTGCCTAAATGACATAAAAAGTGAACGATAACCACTATCGTGCTTTCTCTGTACGAGAGGGCGCCCGGTCCGAATGCAATCGGCTCTGTCTTGTCATGACCCATTACTTTTGCTTTATTCGTCAAAGATATCCATATTTCACAATAAATACATTGTAAATAATCCATAGAAATGCAATTAATTTTACTTTACACCCAAAACGGCGGTTAACACAATTATTTTGGAATTTGTGCTTGCCATCACATCACGTGACATCCATTCTCCTACACTCAAAAAACCAAACTTTTTAGAAAAAACAGGTACTAATTTTGAATGTCAGGATGGTTCATTTACAACTGGTAAGTATGGAAAAATTGTCCTTTACCCCAGGAAAATTCATTTTTTTTCCAAAATGAACAGTTGTTATCCCTTAAAATATGTATTGCGATTTTGGTTTGTCCGTTTACTTCCATTTCCTCATAAAGTATGATAAATGTGATAATATATTACAGGCTGCATGAGGCACGCCTGAACTGGCTACACAACCAACGTGTTGATAACAAAATATCTTTTAAAAATGATACGACAGTATATAATAATGAGTCTTTTAGAATTTCTCTTCTCTTTTAGAAATATCATTGGGATAAAGTTCCTGGAGAATGGCAAGAAACCATGAAACGGAGAAGACAAATGTTGATTCAGATGTGCAAAGATCAGAATGAAACCATACCACCAGAGGCACCAACTAAAGTGAAACAGCCCATTCCAAACAGAATCTTTGTCGAAGACATACATGAAATAATCCTGTGTCCCATGGCAAAAGCAGCAAGTAAAACCTGGTTGAAGATATATTTCAAACTAAACAAGCAGATGAACACTTCTGCCTTACATAATGACTGGATTCCAAAGCATGCGATACGTGTGCATAAACTTAACAAGTACACCGACTTTGGTATCACCACACGCCTTAACACCTATCTTAAAATAATGACAGTCCGTCATCCTCTGATCCGTCTCGTGTCGGTGTATCACGAACAAGTGGCGCCTCCTGGATCTCAGTATGAGGGGGATGTGAAGCGGTTTATCGCGAAGACAGAAGGGAGAAAAATTCAGTCTGTTACATTTGAAGACTTCCTGCGTTACGCCGTACAAACTCCAAATATGCACTGGGATCCATTCAAAAAATTTTGTGATCCGTGTTATATAGATTATGATCTGTTGGTATATTTCGAAACTATGGAAGACGACGCCAAAAACACGCTGATTCTTTTGGGTGCAGACGACATGATCAAACTCCCGCCATCACATCGTGCAGATAAAATGTCGGCTGACGATGAAGCTCGAAAACATTATGATGGTGTAGACAGACAACTACTGAAAAGAGTTATCGCAATGTACAGGATTGAAGAGAAGTACTTTGGATACAACATGAGTTTATTTTTATGAAGTAAATATACATGCACACTTTATTAGTGTTCAGCTTTGATTCAAAAGTGATAGAAATATTGTAAAGTACGTGGTTCGAAAGATTTGAGGGAAAAAACGGGGCCGTAGCGATAGTCCGAAGGTTCAATAGTCCGAAGGTTCATTGGTCCGAATGTTCACTATAGAACCTTCGGACCAATGAACCCTTGATTAAAAAATCGATGAAAGTGTTACCACTTTTCGGACCAATGAACCTTCGGACCAATGAACCTTCGGACTATCGAGACACCCCCGAAAAAACACCAGTGCCGGTTGTTGTTTAATGGATATTTTCTATATACATGTATATGTTACTCAGCAGTCTCATTTGAATAAGTATGTAATTGCTCGCGCAGCTACATCCATATATAAGAGAGAGAGTGATGATTATACAATGCGTGAGGAGTACTTAGACCCCCATTCCCACAGATTTTAGATCGATCTATCCCTGTGGGGAGTCTCACTAGTTTACTGTCAGCTTAGCCGGCTTAAGCGTCTGTCCCGCCTACTAAAAGCTGTAAGGGGGTAATTAACTGTCGTGC